TCATCTCAGCATGTGAGTGTGCCAAAGAAGCATGGGAAAAATTACAAACAGCTTATGAGGGGACAACCTCTGTTCGATTATCAAAACTTCAGATGCTCGCCACTCGCTTTGAGGATCTTCGAATGGAAGAGAATGAAACCGTAAGCGATTTTAATTCGAAACTATGCGATATCTCGAATGAAGCTCATGGTCTTGGTGAAACCTATCCTGAAGTCAAGCTTGTTCGTAAAGTGTTGAGATCAATGCCAGACCGATTTGCATACAAGGTCACAGCTATTGAGGAAGCAAATGATGTGGACTCATTGCGACTTGAAGATCTGATCGGAAATTTGCAGACATTTGAGAACAAGTTGAACATCAGTAGAATGGATAAAGAGAGAAAAATCGCTTTACAAACTGTGTCTGTTGCGACACCATCCGTGCCCTCAGTTCCCATGACAGCACTCGAAGTCAAGCTAACAAAATCCATGTCTCTAATAGCCAAAAACTTCGGAAAACTCGTGAAAACGAATGGACATCCCAGAAGTCCTACAAACAAGCAAGAAGTTAGAAAGGGGATTAGATGTAGAGAATGTCGTGGCTATGGTCATATTCAAGCTGAATGTGCAAACACTCAGAAGAAGCAAGGAAAATCACTTGCTACAACCTGGAGTGACGATAACTTTGAATCTAATGATGAAAGTGAAGCAAGTGATGCTGAAACAAGTATTGACTTCTGTGGTACATGCAGGATCACTGAAGTGACACATGATGATGTCATATGCACTGAGCCGTCACCCATTAAGGTCGCTGAAGTGACACAGGATGTTAACACATGCACTGAGCCACCACACCTCAGGTATGCTACTCGTAAACTCGAGAATCGTACTAATCTTAACACAACTTTTATGTCCACAGGAGAAGAAGATTCAGAGGATGGTGAAGAATGCTCCATCGAGAAGATTCAACAGCAACTTAATGATCTTCTCAAGCAATGTCATGAGGTTGGTGATGAAAACAGGTGTTTGAAGGAGAAAGTGAAGGAACTGGAAGAGGAGAATGAAGCAATTAAAGTCAATCTGAAGGCCAGAATCGATGAGCTAGAATTGGAAAATGAGGTACTGGAGGTAAAACAGGATTTTGCTTTGAAGGATATTGACAATCTAAAAGAATTGCTGAGGCATTTGCGAAACAACGTTTGCAATAAAGCAAGGGAGATCAAGAAAAATCCTGCTCCAAAGAAAAATGCTGAACCCTGCCTCAACCTGAAGTGTGACAACTCCCCTGTCGCAACAACGTTAGAGGCATCAGTCAGTAAGTTAAATCGCACTACGATTCTTCCTTCAAACAGGTTAGATGAAATTTTAAATGCTCATCCCTCAAATCCTGATAAACTTGGTCTTGGCTATATTGGGAGTAAGTTCGATGGTAAACCTAATCCAAATCGAAAAATTAATTTTGTGAATAATACTGTCAAACCTACTCCACAACATGTTGCCTCACAGTCTTATACAAAAAAGTTTGTGCCAACTTGTCATTTCTGTCACAAAGTAGGACATGTTAGGCCAAAATGCTTTAAAAGATGGAAATTGATAAATAAGAGTTTAGCATATCAATCATCCAATTCCGCTGCATGGGATCACAATTCCCAAAGAAGATACTCTGATAATAAATGGATGAATAAGTATAATGCAAACTGCTTTCCTGCTATTCTTTCTTTAAAAGCATGTACTACGAACTCTTGGTATCTTGATAGTGGTTGCTCCAAGCATATAACAGGTGTTCCTAATTACTTAAAGAACATGCATAATGTGTCTGGTGGACAAGTTACTCTTGGTGATGGAAACAAGGTCTTTGTGAAAGGAGAAGGTAACTTGGATGTTGGAGGGTTACCTAACCTTGACAACGTTCTGTATGTAGAGGGTTTGAAATCAAACCTACTCAGCGTAAGTCAGCTATGTGATCTATACGACTCAGTGTTGTTCACCAAGCGTAAGTGTGAAGTTTTTGATCGAAACCACAGGTGTGTTCTATCTGGTTATAGATCCTCTGATAATTGTTATAAAATTGATCAAACTGACCAAGTTGAACAGTCTCCCCTCGCCACCTCTGATATCACAGATATGTGTTATCATCGACTGGGGAATTTGAATTTTCAGGATCTAACACGAAATATCAATGCAGGTTGTGTGAAAGGTGTTCCCCAACTAAATTCCAATACACCAGATTTATGTGGCGAATTTCTAATGGGGAAACAAACTGAGAGCATTGGAAGAGAAATACCAGAAGACAAAATCACAGAAGTATCGGTGCCGACATCTTATGTCACAACTGAAGATGTTACCACTGGTAAAGAAGGTATGAAAACTTGCAATAAGCCCAAGGTTGACTACCAGGAAATGGTCAGGTATGTCTATCTCACTTCCACTTTTGAACCAAAAAACATCAAAGAAGCAACTCTTGATAAATTTTGGGTGTTAGCCAAGCTTGAGGAACTTGAGCAGTTTTCTCGAAATGACATGTGGGCACTGGTTCTGAGCAATGACAAGGTAAAGCAACTAGATGATGAGATATTTATCTCACAGAGCAAATATGCCAAGAACGTGGTAAGTAAATTTGGGTTGAAAAAGGCAAAGTCTTTAACAACACGAATGACCTCAATTGAGAAGTTGGGACGAGATTGTGAAGGCACAGACGTTGATTCCACACTATACAGGAGCTTGATAGGAAGTTTGTTTTATCTTTCTGCTAATAGATATGATATTTGTTTCAGTGTAGGTATTTGTGCTAGGTACCAAGCAAGCCCTAAAGAGAGTCATTTGAGTGTTGTAAAGCGCATTATCCGATGTTTTAGTGGAACACCCGAATTGAGAAAATGGTATTCAAAAGTTACTAACAATTGTCTTGCAGGGAACAGTGATGCTGACTGGACAGGAGATGTGGATGACAGAAAAAACATCACAGGAGGTTGTTTCTACATTGGTAACAGTTTGGTATCTTGGTACAGTAAGAAACAAAATTCCACTTCCTTATCTAATGCTGCGTGTGAATACATAGCTGTAGGTAGCCGTTTCACTCAACTCTTTTGGATGCAACATATGTTAAATAACTATGGCTTTCGTGAAAAAGAGTTGCATGTCTTTTGTGATAATGAGAGTGCCATAAATATTTCAAAAAATCATGTTCAGCATCCTCGAACCAAACACATAGATCTTCGACACCATTTCATCAGGCAATTAGTTGAGCAGAAACGTGTGACTATAGATTATGTGTCCACAGACAATCAACTAGCTGATATTTTCACAAAGCCTCTTGATTTCCTTAGGTTTGATTCCTTGCGTAAAGCGCTTGGAATTTGCCATGAGCAAAACTGAATTTTCTATGATAGTGCAATTAATACTTGTGTCCGGATTGCACTTGATTTTTTTTCTCGGACATTATATGTGTCACCTGCTCATGTGACATCATTTTTGGGAACAGTAATGATGGGAGTTTTCATTTTGACTAATGGTTGTGTGTTAGTTTTTGTGAATTAATTTTTGTTTCCACAGTTAGCCATGATAGAAGTGTGTTGCCCCCTCTATCGGGAGTGATCAATGTCTATGACCTCATTCATCTCAAAGATCATACCTCTATTGGGAGAATTATGCTACCGCATATGCATCCCTGACTTCTATTTAAAAGCTATGTGGATTCTTGAGGAGGTTGCCCTCCTAATGTTTGCTTGAACATCATATCAACAAAAAAGGGGAGGAGTAGAAAAATAGTCCATTTAAAAAAAAAATTAAATAAATAAATAAATAAAAAAAAAAGGAGAAGAAAAAATAGTCCGAATTCAAAAAAAAAAAAAAAAAAAAAAAAAAAAAAGAAAAAAAAGAAAAAAAAGAGGAAGAAGAAAAATTTGGGATGATATTCAAGCATATATTAGGAAATTCTCCTTGAAGTCCACGATCGAATTGCTGTGCTAATCGCATATGCATTCATAACCCTAATAAAATTACCTAAATTATGGTTTCTTGAGTATGGTCATGGGGTTATAGGTATATCGTGCATCCAAGAGTTTGCTTGGTGGCCTTCTATTGTGATTTTCTTTAAGATTATCAAATTAATTCATGAAAACCAAGCCCTCAACTTTTAATCTTGTGATCTTCTTGATTTTCTTTTCCTTAAAAGATGTTATGTTTTTCTTTTTGTTGTTTTAAAAACTTTCTTGAATTTTTTATACATGGGCTTTGTGAATTTTTTGGCTACTAGTTGTCTCTGGCCACGTGGCTATGGCCATGTCATCTGCCTTCTCTATTTTTTGATGTTCGTGTGAAGAATATCTTGTTTGTTATTGGTCACGGATTTTGTGGGATCTTCTTCTGATTTGAAAAATATCTGGTATTTGAAGAGTCCTCTCTTTTTCTGCCTCTTTTCTCGGTCCTTGTGCTTTAAATATCTGCCCCTTCTAGGGTTTCTGAGTTTATTGTGGCCTCTGGCTGACTGTTGACACATGGATGTCTTGATACGTGATCTGTTTGAATCTCTGAAGAAGCGTGTGGGAATATACTTCAGTTTTATCATGATGTTTGTGGGATCTGTTATCATCCTATCTTTAGGGCTTCTAAGATTTCTCAATATTTCTTATACTCGACCTCTCTCTCCAATATCTCTCTATGCTTTTCGAAAGCTACTCGTCTATTCTCTTTTTTTGTGCTCCACAGATTTATTATGGAAAGAGACAAATCGGTCGAGGGGTCTGAAACGAGGAAGCACAAACAACTGTGCATCACCGTCCGACAAGAAGTCTGGAAAAACGTCAAAGTTTGTGACGACAACAGTGTCTCTGTAGTTCCCATTTCTCTCATGGCCATAATTCCGGAGCCCATACTCACACATGTGCAGTCACCAGCCCCAAAGCTCCGAATAAGGTGCTGTCTCTGATCCGCTGGACAATAAGTGATCCTTCCATGTCTAAGGCAGAAGATGTTGGTGGTGAAGACCATGTCGCAATTGAAGAAACTACGCTCAGTGCCCATGTGCAGCTTTACCGGCCTCAAAGGAAGTTTGAGAGCAATTAAGGTCTTGAGGATGAGTCATACGCTTCGAGTGGCCACCAATCTCTTTCAGAGCAGACTTATGCTGCATTTACTGCCGTACATCCAACTAGATCTGAGTCATCAGAATCTTCACCAGAGTCATAACTCTCTGTTGATTCTCCGTTGATGGGACTCGCGGTTACTTGGAAAGGGAAATTTTTCAATGTGGCTCCTGAATTGAATAAAGATTTTTACCGGTGTAAGAATCAAATCACTGTTTAGTCCTTTGTGTCAAGTACACCAAAGCCGCTGTGATCACTGTATACTGAGTTTCCCTGAAGCGTCACTCATGCTGTTTTTATCAACATTGGGGAGTACATCTATGCTCAAGATGGAGCTCTTGCTAACTCTCGCACAAAAAGTTGGAGTGTCTGTCTTTTCCCTCGTTGACCTATCACTCATTGTCACAACATTTCTTAGTGAGAACTTCAGCTTCTATGCCTGAACGACGCCACACTCCATCTGCCTCGCCTGCTGAGAAGAAGTCCAGAAAATCCTCAAAGAAAGTTCGCCCTACTGCTGTGGAAGTCTCTCCTGTTCCCGTCACCACAGATCTGGACCCCGTCTCTACTCTGGTGGCTTCACCTTCACCAAGTCTCAAGACAAGTGATGTGCCTGACCCTGTCGACACCGACATGGCTGATCTTGACGGTGATAGCCTCTCTGCAACCCCACAAGATGATCTGCCCTCAGATCCAGAGGTTGCCCCCCGCAATGTTGAGTTTCCTTTTCAACTCCACCGCTCTAATCGAAAACACGAAGGCCCATCTGTCTCCACTCCTGCCTCCGTGTCTAAAGGTCAACAATCCTCTTCTTCTGAGCCTATTTCTGAGGATGACCCTTTGCGTTCTGAATCCTCTGATTCATCTGTGGGCTCTCAACTCTCTGCTGGTAACTGTTTCTCAAACATTTTTTATTCCGCTCTTGCTAAAGAAAATTGGGATAGTATGAGTAAGCGGGCGTGCTCTTCTGAGCGTGTTTTGTCTAGGGTTGTGTTAGCTTTGTCTGGGATTTTCCGCCTTCTTAAATCTCAAGGGTTGTTGGGCACTATTGTGAGTGCACAACCTTTCGCAAGGTCTGTCATTGTTGAGTTTTATGCCAATCTTTCTGATCGTTTTTCTGTTGAGGGGTCTCGTGGGTATGGGAAAGTGTATGTGAGGGGTTCCTTCTATTCTGTGACTCCTGCCTTGATTAATGAGTTTTATAAATGTCCAAACGAGGTGTCTTGCAAACCCTCTGTTTCAAAAGATACTATGGCCTTTGTTCTCACTGGCAAAGTGTTAAAGAAATGGCCCGGTCCGAAATTCTCTTTTCATGTTTCTAAGCTGACTCAGCTTTATTCGGTCCTGTTTAAGATAGGCATTTCCAATTGGTTTCCCACTACTCACAATGCTATTCTCAATCCCACCCAAGCTGAGTTCTTATGGTGCATCACTCACGACCTCAAGATCAATATTGGTAAACTGATTTTCAATCAGATTGGTGCGTTAGCCAATTCCCAAACCGAGCGTGAGCATCTGCCGTTTCCTTCTCTGATCTATCAGTTTCTGATCAAACAAGGCCTGCCCACTCGTGATGCGACTCTGTTGGATCCTCCTGGACGTCCAATCACTATCCATGGACCAGCTTCTTAAGACTTTGGCACAGTCTGGTCAGAAAGGGGGAGTAGCAACAACTCCAGATGCAACTCCGCATGCCCCAGCAAAAACTTCAATGATGAAGCAGCAGTCCACAACCGCAAGGCAAAGCGTCCAGCAATTCTCATGATAATGATCAGCTCTCCGACTATGATTATAGGGAAGTTTTCTTGAAAAACTTTTTTGTTGTCCTTTTTGAAGTGCTTAAAATTATGTCTTTTTTAGGACTGTTATAGTTATGATTACCTTACTGCCTTTTGGATATCACCTTGGTTATCTTTATTTTGTGCCTTGGGCTTGTTTTGGATAACTTTGTGTTGCAGGAAATTTCTCTGTTACAACATCTATGTGTTGCAACTTCTGTTGTACTAACAGTATGTGATGCAGGGGGAGTTAATCATTCCTGCAAAGAGAGAAAATCTCATATGCAGGGGGAGTTCTTGTTAAATATGGATTCTGACCAATCTATGCCAAAGGGGGAGATTGTTGGCGCCATATTTCCGGTTATTGAAGATCGAGGAAATCCGCCAAGTTTTGGAATTAAAATATTGGCAAAGATTTGTTTTCCATATTTATTTTGGAATTTATTAGAGTCCTATTCTTATATACTTCTATTAGGACTTAGATTTATTTCCATGTATTTTATTCTAGTTAGGTATCTTTTGTACTTATCTAGAATAGAAGTAGAAATCAACTAGGATTCTATTACCTAGTTAAATTGATTTCTTAGGGCCCAAGTTAGGTCTTAGGGCTTATTTTCGTGGCTATATAAGCCTCCAAGACATACAAGAACCGCGGGCATTATTTGGGAGAAAAACCACTTCATAGCATCGAAGTTTTGCCAAGGCGTTCTGCGGAGCAGGACTGTGCCATCGTTGCACTGTGCCATCGCTGTGTGTGCCAATATATACAGATCTGTTGTATAGATCTCAAGGGAGATCAACCGCGTTTCTGAAGGGAGTTCAGGCCTGAAGGGAGTTCGAGGCACGCGGTGTGGAGCTGCTGTTGGAAGAAACACGGAGTTCGAGTTGTGTACAAGAACGGCATATTACATAAAGAGGGAGTCTTTAGTGTTTTTAATAAGTCCTATTAATGTACACTGTAAATCTGAACTAGTGAAATCGTGTTTGCAGGTCCACGTGGATGTAGGGCACATTTGTGTCTGAACCACATTAATTTCTTGTGTTCATTTATTCTGCTTTTAGTAGATTTATAACTGTGTTAACACAAGAATTATAGTTGTAACTGAATACTGTTTCCACAACTTAACTGTTACAACTTAGGTTAATTGATTTTTATAGGCATATAAATCTACAAGTCCTATTAATGTACACTGTAAATCTGAACTAGTGAAATCGTGTTTGCAGGTCCACGTGGATGTAGGGCACAATTGTGTCTGAACCACATTAATTCTTGTGTTCTGTTTATTTACTTTAAGTAGAATATAACTGTGACAACACAAGATTTACAGTTGTAACTGAATACTGTTTCCACAACTTAACTGTTACAACTTAGGTTAATTGATTTCTATAGGCATATAAATCAACAATTGGCATCAAGAGCCTCTCACTAGATATACATAGTGTGTGATTTTGGGAATTTGATTTATTTGCCATTTATTATTCGTAGGTACTATGAGTTCTCATATGGAAGGAGGTTCCACGACTCGCCCACCACTACTTACGGGAACCAACTACTCCTATTGGAAGACTAAGATGAAGATGTTCATAAAATCAATGGATGAAGATGCATGGCGGACAGTGTTAACTGGATGGAAGCGACCCGTTGCCATAGATGAGAAAGGGATTGAAACTGAGAAGCATGAGAAAGACTGGAGCAAAGCCGAACAAATTGCAGCAAACATGAATTCCAAGGCCTTGAATGCTATATTCAATGGAATTGATATCAATCAATTCAAGATAATCTCTGCGTGTGAGTGTGCTAAAGAAGCATGGGAGAAACTCCAAACTGCGTACGAGGGAACTGCTTCAGTCAGACTATCCAAACTTCAAATGCTTGCCACCCGGTTTGAAGATCTTCGTATGGAAGAAAATGAGACCGTGAGCGAATTCAACTCCAAATTATGTGACATATCAAACGAAGCTCATGGGCTCGGTGAAACTTACCCTGAAGTTAAACTTGTACGAAAAGTGCTCAGATCCATGCCAGACAGATTCGCGTACAAGATCACTGCAATAGAGGAAGCAAGTGATGTGGACTCATTGCGACTTGAGGATCTGATTGGAAATCTACAAACTTTTGAAAACAAGTTGAACATCAGCAGAATGGACAAGGAAAGGAAAATCGCTCTGCAAACTGTATCAGACACCACAACATCTGTGCCTACTGCTCCTATGTCAGCACTTGAAGTCAAGCTCACAAAATCCATGTCCCTAATAGCAAAAAATTTCGGGAAATTCATCAAGAGAAATGGACATCCTACAAACTCTGAGAGAAAACCCAGGACCTCTATAGATAAGCCAGAAGTCAAGAAGGGAATTCGATGTAGAGAATGTCATGGTTATGGTCATATCCAAGCAGAATGTGCTAACACTCAAAAAAAACAAGGAAAATCACTTGCCACAACTTGGAGAGATGACACCTCAGAGTCTGATGATGAAAGTGAAGCTAGTGACGATGATACAAACAATGATTTCTGTGGAACTTGCAGAATCACAGAAGCCACACTTGAGGACATCACGTGCACAGAACCGCCACATCTCAGGTATGTCACACAGGAAAATGAAAATTACGTAAATCTAAATATGTCTGTTCTGTCCACAGGGAGTGACGAATCAGAAGATGAAGGTGAAGAGTCCATCCAACAATTTCAAAAACAATTGGATGATCTCCTGAAGCAATGTCATGAAGTTAGTAATGGAAATAAACTCCTGAAAGAAAGAATCAAAGAACAAGAGGAAGAAAACAAATGAGTGATCACAAAACTGAATGACAGGATTGATGAACTTGAGATGGAGATTGAAGTCTTTGAAGTGGAACAGGACTTTGCACAAAGAGACATCGACAATCTCAAAGATTTGCTGAAATATTGGCAGGACTATGATGGTGAAAGAGCAAAAGAATGAGGAAAAATCTTTTTCCAAAAGTGCATGCTAATGATCACCAAGATGTTTCACCGCCTGTTCGCACAATGTTTGATGCTTCTGTCAGTAAGTTAAATCGCACTGCATTTCTTCCCTCAAATAGATTAGATGAAATCATAAATGCTCATCCTTCTAATTCCAAAAGAATTGGGTTAGGATATACTGATGGACAATCTAATGCTAATACTGGTTCAAACCAGGAAATCAGATTTGTCAATTCCACATCTTCTTGTGTGAACAACCAAACCTATCCTACTAAGTTTATTCCTATCTGTCACTTCTGTCACAAAATAGGGCATGTCAGGCCTAAATGCTTTAAACGATGGAAATTGATAAATAAACAGTTAGCATATCAAACATCCAAATCCGCTGCGTGGGTTACTTACTCTCAAAGTAACAACTCTCATAAACAAAGGATGACAAATGATAGTACTAACTGCTGGTCAGCTATTTTATCTTTAAATGCATGTGCTACTAACTCTTGGTATTTTGACAGTGGATGTTCCAAACACGTGACAGGTGAAAAGAATTTCTTATCAAATCTGCATAACATGTCTAGTGGACAGGTTACTTTTGGAGATGGAAATAAGGCTTATGTAAAGGGAAAAGGAGACTTAAATGTTGGAGGGTTGCCAAACTTGAACAATGTTCTGTATGTGTAAGGTTTGAAATCAAATCTTCTGAGTGTAAGTCAGTTGTGTGATCTATACGACTCTGTATTGTTCACAAAGCGTAAGTGTGAAGTATTTGATGAAAGAAAAAATTGTGTTCTAACTGGATACAGGTCATCAGACAATTGCTACAAAATTGATCAGATTGACAAATCAGATCAATGTCATCACACTTCTTCTGATCTCACTGATCTCTGGCATCGGAAACTAGGTCATTTAAATTTTCATGATCTAATCCGTCTTGTTAATACAGGTTGCGTAAAAGGGATACCACAACTGAAGACTGACACACCTGAGTCATGTGGTGACTGTCCACTGGGAAAACAAGTACGGACATCTCACAAGAACACAGATCATGCAGGGACTAGCAGGACCTTGGAACTCATTCACATGGATTTAATGGGACCAATGCAAACCGAGAGCATTGGTGGAAAAAGGTATGTTCTAGTTTGTGTTGTTGATTTCTCAAGGTTCACTTGGGTACGCTTCATTAGGGAAAAGTCAGATACCATTTATGAGTTCAAAACTCTGTGCAAAAAATTGCGAATTGAAAAATTCAGCAATATTGGAAGAATTCGAAGCGATCATGGGAGAGAGTTTGAAAACTCTTCATTCACAAACTTTTGTGATAAACACGGTATCTCCCACGAATTCTCAGCACCAAAGACACCACAGCAGAATGGTGTGGTAGAAAGAAAGAACAGAACTCTCCAAGAAATGACTCGCGTAATGCTCATCTCAGCAAGAGTGGCCACAAAGTTCTGGGCTGAAGCCATGAGCACTGCCTGCTACACCATAAACCGTGTACATCTCAGACCAGGTACCAAGAAAACTCCATATGAAGTATGGAAAGGTAAGAAACCTAACTTAAGTTACTTTCATGTCTTTGGGTGTGAATGTTACATCCTGAACGATAGAGAACAACTCGGTAAGTTCAAAGGTACCTTTCTTGGTTACTCTTTAAACAGCAGGGCATATCGCGTTTATAATGAACGTACAATGACTGTTATGGAATCCATTAATGTAACTTTTAACGAAGTTTTATCTGCAGGAATGGATGAGGAAGACGCTAATCCTGAAAAAACCATTGTACCAGTACAAACGCCAATCGTCAGCACGGAGGAAGTGACGGCAGTGAAGGAAAGCACGGAAGGAGTGACAACAGCGAAGGAAAGCACAGAAGAAAGAAAAAGACCATCAAAACATGTTGTAAAAAATCATCCTTCTGAACAGGTGATAGGAGAATTTGATGAAGGTATGAAAACTCGAAATAAGCCCAAAGTTGATTACCAAGAAATGGTCAGGTATGTTTGCTATACTTCTACTATAGAACCAAAAAACATCAAAGAAGCAATTCTTGATGAGTATTGGGTACAAGCTATGCAAGAGGAACTTGAGCAGTTCACTCGACATGAAGTGTGGGAACTTGTTCCACGACCCGACCAGGTAAACGTTATAGGTACAAAATGGGTGTTCAAAAACAAAACGGACGAACTTGGTAATATAACTCGCAAAAAAGCTCGTCTTGTTGCTCAAGGATACACCCAAATTGAAGGAGTAGATTTTGATGAAACATTCGCTCCGGTAGCACGTCTTGAGTCAATACGTCTTTTACTCTCAGTTGCTTGTGCTTTAAAGTTTAAACTCTTCCAAATGGATGTAAAAAGTACGTTTTTAAATGGTCTCTTAAATGAAGAAGTGTATGTCGAACAACCAAAAGGTTTTCAAGATCCACTTAAACCTCAACATGTCTATAAACTTAAAAAGGCCCTATACGGTCTCAAACAAGCCCCTCGGGCTTGGTATGAGCGACTTACGACCTTTCTAGTTGAAAAAGGATATAGAAGAGGTGGGGTAGATAAAACACTATTTGTCAAAAATTTTAAAAACGAAATCCTTTTGGCTCAAATCTATGTGGACGATATTGTTTTTGGGTCTACTTCTGACCACAAGAAAGATGAGTTTATCTCTCAAATGTCAAACGAATTTGAAATGAGTATGGTTGGAGAGCTAACATACTTTCTTGGCTTGCAGGTAAAGCAGATGAATGATGGAATTTTCATCACACAAAGCAAGTATGCCAAGAACCTGGTAAGTAAATTTGGGTTAGATAATGCAAAGCCTCTAAAAACTCCGATGAGTCCTACTGAAAAGTTGGGACGCGACTGTGAGGGCACAGACGTGGATCCCACATTATACAGGAGTATGATTGGAAGTTTACTTTATCTTACTGCCAGTAGACCTGACATTTGTTTCAGTGTAGGAGTATGTGCTAGGTACCAATCAAATCCTAAAGAAAGTCACTTAAGTGCAGTCAAACGCATCATACGATACGTGAGTGGAACTCTTGAACTAGGGATATGGTACTCCAAAGATACTAATACTTGTCTTACAGGATACAGTGATGCTGACTGGGCAGGAGATGTGGATGACAGAAAAAGTACTACTGGAGGCTGTTTCTACATGGGAAACAACCTAGTATCTTGGTACAGTAAGAAACAAAACTGCATCTCTTTATCAACAGCTGAATCTGAGTACATAGCTGCAGGTAGTTGTTGCACTCAACTTCTTTGGATGCAACATATGTTGAATGACTATGGCTTTCATGAAAAACTCCTTCATATATTCTGCGATAATGAAAGTGCCATAAATATCTCAAAAAATCCTGTCCAGCATTCTAGAACCAAACACATAGATCTTCGACACCATTTCATCAGGCAATTAGTTGAGCAGAAACGTGTGACTATAGATTATGTGTCCACAGACAATCAATTAGCTGATATTTTTACAAAGCCCCTCGATTTCCTTAGGTTTGATTCCTTGCGTAAAGCGCTTGGGATTTGCCATGTGCAAAACTGAATTTTCTATGATAAGTGCAATTAAAGTTTGTGTCCGGATTGCACTTGAATTCTTTAATCGGACATTATATGTGTCACCTACAAATGTGACATCACTTTTTTGGACTAGGAATGATTGGAGGTTCATTTTGTCTAATTGTTTGTGTGTTAGTTTTTGTGAATTAATTTTTGTTTCCACAGATAACCATGATAGAAGTGTGCTGCCCCCTCTATCGGGAGTGATCAATGACTATGACCTCATTCATCTCAAAGATCATACCTCTATTGGGAGAATTATGCTACCGCATATGCATCTCTGACTTCTATTTAAAAGCTATGTGGATTCTTAAGGAGGTTGCCCTCCTAATGTTTGCTTGAACATCATATCAACAAAAAAAAAAGGGAGGAGAAGAAAAATTAGTTCGAATTAAAAAAAAAAAAAAAAAAAAAAAAAGGAGAAAAATAGTCTGAATTCAAAAAAAAAAAAAAAAAAAAAAAAAAAGGAGGGGTTGGGATGATATTCAAGCATATATTAGGAAATTCTTCTTGAAGTCCACGATCGAATTGTTGTGCTAATCGCATACGCATTCATAACCCTTAAAAATTACCTAAATTATGATTTCTTGAGTATGGTTATGGGGTTATAGTTATATCGTGCATCCAAGAGCTTGCTTGGTGGCCTTCTATTGTGATTCTCTTTAAGATTATCTAATTAATTCATGAAAACCAAGCCCTCTACTTTTAGTCTTGTGATCTTCTTGATTTTCTTTTCCTTAAAAGTTTTTTTTCCTTTTAAAATTTGTTTTTAAATTTTTTGGGCTTTGTGAATTCCTGGGCTATTAGTTATCTCTGGCCACGTGGCTATAGCCATGTCATCTGCCTTCTTTATTTTTTGAGGTTTCGTGTGGAGAATATCTTGCTTGTTATTAGTGGCGGATTTTGTGGGATCTTTTTCTGATTTGAAAATATCCAGTATCTGAAGAGTCCTCTCTTTTTCTGCCTATTTTCTCGGTCCCTGTGCTTTAAATATCCGCCTCTTTTAGGGTTTGCTTCTCACACTTTGTTCTTTTTCTTCTTCTCTTCCGCCGTTTCTTTTCTATTGTCTTGTTTTTCTCTGTGTTCCCTATTCACCATGGGCAAGAATCGATCTACTGAGGGCTCCAAGAAACGACGCCACACTCCATCTGCCTCACCTGCTGAGAAGAAGTCCAGAAAATCCGCAAAGAAAGTTCGCTCTACTGTTGTGGAAGTCTCTCCTGTTCCCGTCACCACAGATCTGGACCCCATCTCTACTCCTGTGGCTTCGCCATCACCAAGTCTCAAGACAAGTGATGTGCCTGACCCTGTTGACACCGGTGTGGCTGCTCTTGACGGTGATAGCCTCTCTGCAACCCCACAAGATGATCTGCCTTCAGATCCAGAGGTTACCCCCCGCAATGTTGCGTTTCCAGTTCAACTCCGCCGCTCTAATCGAAAACACGAAGGCCCATCTGTCTCCACTCCTGCCTCCGTGTCTGAAGGTCAACAATCCTCTTCTTCTGAACCTATTCCTGAGGATGACCCTCTGCGTTCTGAATCCTCTGATTCATCTGTGGGGTCTCAACTCTCTGCTGGTAACTGCTTCTCAAACCTTTTTTATTCCGCTCTTGCTAAAGAAAATTGTGATAGTATGAGTAAGCGGGCGTGCTCTCCTGAGCGTGTTTTGTCTAGGGCTGTGTTAGCTTTGTCTGGGATTTTCCGTCTTCTTAAATCTCAAGGGTTGTTGGGCACTATTGTGAGTGCACAACCTTTCGAAAGGTCTGTCATTGTTGAGTTTTATGCGAATTTGTCTGATCGTTTTTCTGTTGAGGGGTCTCGTGGGTATGGGAAAGTATATGTGAGGGGTTCCTTCTATTCTGTGACTCCTGCCTTGATCAATGAGTTTTATAAATGTCCAAACGAGGTGTCTCACAAACCCTCTGTTTCAAAAGATTCTATGGCCTCTGTTCTCACTGGCAAAGTGTTAAAGAAATGGCCCGGTCTGAAATCCTCTTTTCATGTTTCTAAGCTGACTCAGCTTTATTCTGTCCTGTTTAAGATAGGCATTTCCAATTGGTTTCCCACTACTCACAATGCTACTCTCAATCCAACCCAAGCTGAGTTCTTATGGTGCATCACTCACGACCTCAAGATCAATATTGGTGAACTGATTTTCAATCAGATTGGTGCGTTAGCCAATTCCCGAACCGAGCGTGAGCATTTGCCATTTCCTTCTCTGATCTATCAGCTTCTGATCAAACAAGGCCTGCCCACTCGTGATGCCACCCTGTTGGACCCTCCTGGCCGTCCAATCACTATCCACGGTAAGGTCCTCTCTGAACATTTTGCTGATCTGCCTCCTGTCGATCCTTCTGTTGTTCAGACAGTCCCTCGTGCGAAGAAGGCTCCAATTGTCTCTGCCTCTATTCCGCCGCCGGTTGATGTGGTCACCAAGGATGAGCTCACTCGTTTTCAAGAGTCTATCCAGGCTCAGCTAGCTCAAGGGTTTGCCTCTATTCAGGATCAGCTGCTTAGGACTTTGGCACATTCTGGTCAGAAAGGGGGAGTAGCAACAACTCCAACTCCTGCGGCTTCCACCAAGACCAAAGATAAAGGCAAAAAGCAGGCATCCCTCCTCACTCCTTCACAGCCCAGCTCTCGTGATGATGATGATTTGTTCTCTGGCTTTAGTTACTAAAGCAGAGATTTATGTTTTTCGTCTTTATGTTTTTTTTATGAGGTAATTGCAAATACCACCCCTGTGAAATCTCGAATTGGCAAATACCCCCCTATGAAAAAAAAACTCACCCATGCCTCCCTGTGTAAACAAAGTCAAAGCATCTAGCCCCCTAAGAACAAATCGTGTCGGTCACGCCCTGTTTGTGCGATTTTTGCTCCATTTTCAAATGTGAATTCTCAGAAATGCCCCCACGTTCCCCTTCTCTCTCTCTTTTCTTTTCTTTTTTTTCTTTTTTTTTTCTCTTTCCCGTCTTCGTTCTTCATCCTTCTTCATCTTCCTCCAGAAGCCTCTCATGTCAGACATGGCCATCTTCAATTCTCTGCGGATTTTGATCAATCGTGGCCCGAAAACTTCGAAGAAACCTCTGCTTCCAAGGATGACCGCCACTGCCGCCGCCGCCGCACGAAGATGAAGAAAACTCATTTTCTGGGCCTCCATTTTCTCCGTTCGATCTCACCGACCACGAGCCGCACACCTCCGCCGCAGCATGCCTCAAGCGGAAGAAAATCTGAAGATGTAATGGTGTTGGGTTGAATTGAGTTGTGAGTTGGATGGGAAGAATGAGGGGGGGGGGGGGGGGGGGGGGTTTTTAAACCCGGAATAAAAAAAGGGGGTTGGAGGAAAACGAGGATGGTGGCAGGGGAAGAAAATGAAGACTTTTTATTTTATTTTATATAATTATTATTATATTTAAGATATGTTTTATTTTGTATTTTTTTAATTATCAACATATATTTACTGTATTTAATAAAGATATTTGTTTAAATATTTTATTTTTTTCTTTTATCTTTTATCTTTTATCTTTTTTGTTTTTCTTTTTTAATAATTATTGTTATTTAATATAAAATGTAACAAACAATTACAAAGAATATAAAAATACTATTAAAAAAAGCATATAAGAACTTTTAATATTACAATATATATTTAATTTTTTGTTTAATTTTAATTTTAATTTTATTTTTTAAGAATTAAAAATAAATACATAATATTTATAAAATTAAAGTGATTCTAAAATTTAGGTATTATACTTTACTAATTGGTAAAAAAACCCTAAGGGTATCTTTGTCTATTCACAGTTAGTCAAAGCCTAAAATAAAAAAGGGTGCGGTGTGCTTCGAAAACGTTAACACAGGGGGGAGTTAGTGAGTTTTTTTATTACAGGGGGGTTTTTGACAATTAGAGATTACACAGGGGTGGTATTTGCAATAAGCTCTTTTTTTTATCCTAAAAACTATCTGCTATTACTTTTGGTGTGTAATAGCTAGTATTGTTTTCTTTTTTTTCATCTTTGACTCTATGTGTTATCTCTTTATCTGCATTGATAACTATTTTTGAGTTAATTTTGGAGTGATTCTATATCTCTCTTATTTGTCTCACTGCAGGAAATACTTAAGTAGCACTGCTATTGTGCTAACAGTATGTGATGTTATGTGCTAACAGTCTGTGATGCAGGGGGAGTGCTAACAGTCTGTGATGCAGGGGGAGTCTTTTCTCTTTCCGTCTTATCTGCAGGGGGAGTTCTTGTTAAACATGGGTTCTGACCAAATCTATGCCAAATGGGGAGATTGTTGGCGCCAGATTTCCACGAAGGAAGAAATCCGCCTCACTTGGGAAGTAAAGATTGGCTAAAGATTTGTTCCCATGTTTATTTTGGAAATTTAGAGTCCTACCTTTGTAATACTTTAGGACTTAGATTTATTTCCTTGTACTTTATTCTTATTAGGAATCTTTTATAGTTATCTAGATTAGAACTAGATATTGACTAGGATTCTGTTTCCTAGTTATTCGGTTCCTTTGGAAGACAGGTCTTTTGAGGCCAATCTCACGCCTATATAAGGCTCCTCACCTCACAAAGACCGTGACACTTTTGTTGGGAGAAAAATCACTCCGTTGCTTTGAAGAATCGCTGAAACGTTCTGCTGAACAGAACTGTGCCATCGTTGGATGTGTCAACATATACAGATTGGCTGTATAGATCTCTTGGGAGATCAACCGCGTCACTGAAGGGAGTTCAGGCCAGAAAGGAGTTCTAGGCACGCGGTGTGGAGCTGCTGTTGGAAGAAACACGGAGTTCGAGTTGTGTACAAGAACGGCATATTACATAAAGAGGGAGTCTTTAGTGTTTTTAATAAGTCCTATTAATGTACACTGTAAATCTGAACTAGTGAAATCGTGTTTGCAGGTCCACGTGGATGTAGGGCACAATTGTGTCTGAACCACATTAATTCTTGTGTTCTGTTTATTTACTTTAAGTAGAATATAACTGTGACAACACAAGATTTACAGTTGTAACTGAATACTGTTTCCACAACTTAACTGTTACAACTTAGGTTAATTGATTTCTATAGGCATATAAATCAACAACTATTCATTAAGTATTATAGATATAGGCATATAACATCTCCTTTGTAGGTCTTAACCTTGGAGATGCTCTAATTGATATGGAGAGCAAAGCTCGAGGTCAAATTCCATTTGATAGACAATATGAATGAATCAAGTAGTCTCATCTGGAGAAAAATCACATTAGCTTAGCAAGCTATGTAAAGAAGCAAATATAGTTGTTATATGATCAATATAATTACAATGATCCAATAGGTCATTTTATTTTTAATTAAACCCATTTTCAACATCTGGATTCGAAATTAGTTTCCAGCTCAATGAAATTCTAGGGCTTAAGGAACTAGAAATTAACTTAGGGCGGCCCCGTTTGGTTGGCAAGATTAGCCAAGATTAACTAAATAGTAAGGTTTAGTTTGATGTTTGGTTAGTCGTATTATTTTTCGGGTCGACCCGCCAAAATAGTTTTGTCATGACTTATCTGGACTAATTGAGAGATAACTAATTGGATCTTGAGAGGTCAAATAAAATTATTGTGCTATGATTATATACGTTAATGACAAAAAAAAAACAAAATATAAATATTAAAAAGAAGCAGAAAAAATTATGTACAATAAGAAAGGGTAATTCGGTCATTTTCATGTAATTGGGTTAATGTTAAGGAAACCAAATATCAAATACTGTTAAATAATGGAGAGATAAAAAATTCAAAATTTGATAACAAACATCTTATAAAATAAATAATAATAATTATAAGCCTTTTATTTTATAGGATAATTATCTTATCTTGGCAACCAAACGAGGCATTAATTGATAATATAATCTTCCATCCACTCAATTCTTCTAGGTTGGATTAGTTAACTTGACTGATCGAAATTTCTCAAATCAAGATCTAGTTAGCATGAGACATTAAAATTTAGAGGAAATTGGCTAGACACCCCTAATTTTGGACTTATATAGGTAGATATCTATTCTATTAGATGAATATATATAGGTGTAGGTTCATTGACAAATAAAATAAAATAAAATTATTAGTGTATAGACATAAATAACCTTCAATTATTATTTATATATAAATAGTTATTTTGGAAATTGAGGGAACAATCCCACAAATCTCTCTCTTTCTAACACATACGTAATATATATCTCTCTCCCCAATATCCACTCTCCCCCACACCCCACGTCTCTCTCTCTCTCTCTCTCTCTCTCTCTCTCTCTCTCTCTCTCTCTCTCTCTCTCTCTCTCTCTCTCTCTCTCTCTCTCTCTCTCTCTCTCTCATACATTTTTATCTCTCTTAAAAGAGCCATTAGTTATTGTGAAATTTAGTTTTCAATTCTTGTAAAAAATATTTTTTTATTTTATTTCCATAAATATCTATAGCAATCTTCACTAATTAACTTTCTTGAAACCATATATTTTTTAATATTAATTGTTTGAAATCATATATTTTTGAATATTAATTGTTATTTCGTATTTTTCGACGGTATTGCATTTTTTTTATATTTGCATTTTCTAACTGTTTTTACATTAGCAAACCAAGAAAAAAAATACAAAATTAACAATCAAAATAAATTTGCAATATATAATAGAAAACTGCAAATTACAATTTATAACTTAAAATAACATAAACAATAAATAACAATGCAAATAATAAACAGTAAACGACAAACACAAATAATAAACAACAAACATAGTAGACACAAACAATAAACAACACTGACCCTAGCGCATTTTTTACTCGAGCAATATGAAATAGTTTCAAAACACAAAGTAAAAAATAAAAAAATGTTATAACAAACACCAAAAAACTAATTTTTGTTTAGAAGCAAATTAGTACGTTAAGTACAAAGTACTTCAAGATACAACTTTTCTGACACATTTAATGTGGTGTTCTTTGAATTTATGTCGGTTGAAGATGTAAACAAGTGAAACGAGTTTTGAGTGCATATTGTGGGATTCATGGATCTTCTGTAATAGCTTGTTCCGTGAGGACTTTGTTTGCAATCTAATTTGTTCTTGTTTTTTCTCCTTTGGAAGAATCGAAGAGTCATTTAATGCCTTGCTTCTTTTTCTTCTTTGGCGTACCTGTGTTAGCACACAAAAAATAAAACTAAACAAGACTTTCAATTGCAAATAATAAATTGCAAAAATGAACAAAAAATAGCAAATTAAAAACAATAACTGCAATTACAAACAAGGAATTCAAAGTGTATACAAATAACTGCAAACAAGAAAATTTTAAATAGAAAATTACAAATAAGAAATTCAAAGTGTAATAAGCAACCGCAAACAAGAAAATGATGGTTCGATTGCAAACAAGTAACAAATTGCAAATAAATAGTAGATCACATGAACATCCACAAAATGAAGAAAATAAGAACAACAAAATGCATACCACAAGAACAACAAAAAAACAAAAACATGATGGTTAAATAATGCACAGTAAAATGCAAATTTCAAATAACAACACAAACGACAACAAATTAACATCAACAACTGACTGAAAAAAAATGCAAACAAGAAT